GAACAACTTTGAAATAGGCAATAAGTACGAAACGAATAATCAAAGAAGTAGTAATCTAACATAAGAATGGATATCATAATTAACAGAACAATATAATACAAAGAAATGATTTCCATCCGCATGCTTTAACCCAATGGCAATGCATAGGTACTCGTCACCTCACATATACATTGTCCCCACACATAAAACACACGGCAAATAGACCAACAAGTCCTCATCCCTCAAGTCAAGGTTGACCACGACACTTACCTTACTCTGCAATCAAATCAAGGCTCAACCGCGACTTTCCCTCTAGAATTAGCCTCCAAACAAATCAAATCTAACCAAATAAAGTTCAAATAATTCAAAATAAGCTTTAGAGACTACCCATGAGTGAAAAAGATTCAATCTTTAATGTTTTTGAAAAAAGTCAACCCGGGCACGCTTGGTCAAAACCCGGGATTGGACCAAAAAGCCAATTACCCATTCAACCCCGAGCCCGATTATGTAATTAGTTTTGAAATCCGACCTCAATCTGAAGTCTAAATCTCATTTTATCAAAATACCTAATATCTACCTAAATCCCTAATTTCTACCATGAAAAAGCATAGAATAAATGTTAAAATCAATAGTTGTTTATGAAAATGTAAGAAAACAAGTTAAAATCTACTAACCTATGAAGCTAGGATGAAAAGCCTTTTCAAAATCGCCTCTAGGCCGAGCTCAAACTTGAGAATGGTGAAAAAAACTCAATTCCCAACTTTGGGATATTTTAATCACTAGGCGTCAGGCCTTCTTCTCGTTCGCGATGTGCCTGGCGCGATCACGAAGAATAGCAGCCAGAGTGGCCTTCGCATTCGCGAGAAACGCTACACATTTGCGGTGGCCTGTCCCCCCATGGCCTTAACGTTCGCGCGCCTGGGCTTGAGTTCGCATACAGAAACTGACCATGTCCCCCAGAATCCCATAAACCTTCACGTTCGCGAAGGGTAAACACCCCAATGCTTCGCGTTCGCGACCATGCCATCGCGTTCGCGATGAAAAAATCTAACCTAGACCCAAGTTCCCCTTCGCGATCGCAAGAGTACCTTCATGATCGCGAAGCACAAAGTCTCAGACACCAACAACAGCAAAAACCAGCAGAACTTGAGTCTAAGAATGATCCGTCGCCTATCCAAAACACACCCTAGCCCCTCGGGCCCCAAACCAAACATGCACACAAGTGTAATAACATCATACAAACTCGCTCGCACGATTAGTACACCAAAATAACACCTAAAACTACAAATCGAACATAAAAAAGCATGAAAATTTTAAAGAATCTTAAGAACTTCCAACTTCACAACCGAGCGTCCGTATCCTATCAAATCAACCTCGTTTAGCACCAAATTTTGCAGACAAGTCTTAAATGGTAAAATGAACCTATACCATGTTACAAAACCAAAATCCGAGCCCGATAGCAATAAAGTCAACCGACGCTCAAACTTCAAAATTCGTTAAACCTTCAAATTACTAGTTTTCAACAAATCACGTTAAATCAAGTTAGGAACTTCTGAATTCAATTCCAGGCATACGTGCAAGTCCAAAATTACAATACAGACCCAACTAGGATCGTCAAGATACTGATCCAGGTCTGTTTACACAAAATATTAATTGTAGTCAACTCAAATTATTTATAGCTAAAATTCATGTTTCCTTAAATTTTTTACATAAAAACATTTCGAAAAAGATATGGACTGCACACGTAAATCAAGAATCTCTAAATAGAGCTAATCAAGGTCTCAGAGCACTAAAATAAGTGCTAGAATTTAAAATGACCTATCGGATCATCACATATTTAGTCGAGATAGAGTGCATCACATCTTAAACTCTACTTGTGCATATTGATACTTGTTTTTTCTGTGGTTAGTTTGTTATGCTAATTTTGTGCACTCTCTCTTTGTTGCTATGCGTATGAACTACAACATTAGTAAAGTGATTACCTATTTTACCAAACTCTCGCTATTACTTCGTTCAGGTCGATCAATGTGCTTAATGAATATATTGGGTCAGTTGTAATCATACTAATCTATATATTTTTGTGCAAATTCTGAGCCCGGTATGAGCGGTACTCCGGAGATGTCTATGACTATTTGAGTGAGCGATTTGGATAAAATCGTTGAGTTGTGAAGTCATCTTGTATCCTTATTACTATTTCTTATTCCAGACAATGGTGCACTTATTCAGATTCATGTGTAATTCGATTGTACGAGCTCATGACTTGTACTACCTGTCATTGGAGATCGTATTTGGATATTTCACACATGTATTATCTGGTATAGACTTATGTTATAATGTTATTCATGATTAAACTTGTTTACGTCTCTATGGTATCCAGATTTGTTGGTTATGCTTTTTGGTTCGCCTAGTGGTTTGGGGTTAGGTGTCATCACGACCTTGGTGCAAATTTGGATCATGACAACAAAATTGCATTTCAAAAATCTAAACGAATAAATTTTATAAAAATATACTATACAAAACATGTAGATAATTTTAAGGTGACTTATTAATTAATGTTTAACTTTAAGCCACTTAAAACATAGCGCCAGTTCTTACTCCGTTGAGTCGATCTCCACGGTTAAATTCTTTGGGTTCGATAACCTCTTGATTAGCCGGGCTGGCTAAATACCATTGCCATTGCTATCAATTAGACATAAAACAGAAAGAACTTCCTCTATCCTGGAATTCTCTCTTAGTTTAAAATGACTTAGTCAAGTTAACGTCTGATATATATATTCCCTCCATTCCAGTTTATCTCAATCTTTATGCTTCTCAAAAGTCAATTTAATGAAATATTAAAGCAAAATTGGGTTAGATTAATGTATACGATTAAAATCGAGCCCATTGAACATCTTAGTTTCCCCATAAGACAAATGGAGCATGAATATGATCGTAAGGAATCAGAATCTGGGCAAGGTTCCTTTCGTATCGAAGTTCGAGCAAGACACCTACCCTCGGAGGCATCGGAACCACGTCCTCCGAGTCTGGCTCGAACCTCGAGACTTCGCAGAAAATTATCGAACGACTGCACACGACTAACAAAGGGCCGTGATATCCGTTCCCAACCGAATATCACCGCATGGATCTCAACCTTTATCGGCATAAAATCAATGATTAGCGAAATGGGGGATTCTTACCCTCCTTAGAATTGTACTTAGGATAAAATTCCCCTACTATATAAAGGGGAAAAGTCATTATTTATATGACACATTGTAACACACATATCATGGAAATATACTATTTTTTTCTCTATTGTTTAAAGTTCTTACTTTTGTTCATCAGTTCTTCATTAGTGTGAACTCGGGATTGAAGGCAGGTACTTTCTTAAGCCTTTACTGAGTAATTCAAGGGAAATTAATGCCCTTAGATAGGACTTCATCTATGAATAGAAGAGATTCAGTATCAGTCTCATTATTTGTTTAGCAATTTATTACGTCTTTTATTTGTTTAATCTAACGCCAAAATCATTTGTATTGAATTAATCCGCATATCCTTAAAACCACATATAAATTCAATTGTTATCCATTTTTTGGGTAAGCAGTTTTGCGCCCACCGTAGGCCTAAGGTTAATAGTGGCTATTTGATTTCCATAACGCACTCTGCTTTACTCTTGTTCTTTGAAACTTTAATTTCAAGTAAAATTAAGAATGTTAAACTCTCAATCCGCTCACTTGAACGTCGATGTTGAGTCTGGCCACCATGGTGAGAACAACAATATAGTGCCCGACAATGAGGTTTCCCATGGTGACCCCAACGGAGTCCCAGTCGCAGACCCAATCAGATGCCAACTCCCATGTGGCCATTGACTCTAACATGCCTAGCGACCGAGAAAATAACATTCATGGAGGAGCCAGATCGGTAGCTAGAGGTGCACACGATAGTGAAGGCGATGGGTTTAATTTGCGGGTGATCTTCGAAATGTTACAAGCTCAACAGGTAGCAATAACCTAGTTACAGAACCAAAGCAATGCTCCCAGCAGAGCTGAGCCCAAACCATCCAGGGAGAACACCCAAAGGAATGAATGAACCTCGGAAAGGCCGGGTGAAGCTGAAGTCGGGGCTAGCCTCAAAATAATAAAGATGCTAGAAGAATTGACAAAGCGGCTAGAATCGGAGGAAAAAAAGATTGAAGCCAACAATAAAAAAGAGGAGACTTATAACTCCTGGGTTGATCAAATCCTTGGATCACCACTGATATTGAAGGGCCTGGATTCCAAGAAATTCGTTTAATAACCTTTCCCTCCGAGTGCAGCTCTTAAACCAATCCCAATGAAGCTCCGTATGTCTGAAACTCTGAAATACAATGGAACAACTTATCCAAATAAACATGTGACCTCCTACACTTGTGCCATCAAGGGGAATGACTTAGAAGATGACGAAATCGAATCCGTTCTGCTAAAAAAGTCCGGAGAAACCTTGTCGAAAGGAGCTATGATATGGTATCAAAACTTACCCCTTAATTTTATTGATTTGTTCGCTATGCCTGCAGATGCTTGTGTAAAGGCGCACGCCGGGGCCATCAAGGTCAAGACCAGGAAGTCTGACATTTTCAAATTAGAGCAAACAAAAAACGAGATGCTCAGGGAATTCGTGTCGAGATTTCAAATGGAACGGATGGATTTGCCTCCGGTCGCGGATGATTGGGCCGTTCAGGCATTCACCCAAGGACTTAACCCCCAAAGCTCATTGGCTTCATAGTAGTTGAAACAAAATTAGATAGACTGCCGGACGGTAAATTGGGCCGACGTCAATAACAGGTACCAATCAAAAATTAGAGTCAAACATGATCAGCTCGGGTCCCTTACGGATCCGTGTATCCCGTCAGAACTAGTGACAGATCTAAAAGAGTCGTTGATCAGGAACCAAGACCGAACAGATACCGGTATCAACCATATAGCAGAGATCGGAGGGGTAATGGGTCCGAGCGTAACCCTCTGAGCAATGAAAAAAGGAGCGATCGGGGCCACAATAGTCGGGGATTCATGAGTAAAAATGGCTTTAACGGGCCACTCAGGGCCAGGGAGGCACCGAGATTATCGGAATACAACTTCAGTGCCGATGTTGCCGACATCGTATCCGCCATCGAACGTATCAAAAATACCAAATGGCCTCGACCATTGCAGTCCGATCGTGCCCAAAAAGATCACAACCTGATGTGTAAGTATCATGGCACTCATGGCCACAGGACCAAAGATTGCCGACAACTAAGAGAAGAAGTAGCTCGGTTATTCAATAACGGACACCTCCGAGAATTTCTGAGTGATCAAGCCAAAAATCATTTCGGGAATAGGGACTCCAACAAGCAGACTGAGCAAGAGGAGCCTCAACACGTCATTGACATGATTATTGGAGGAGTCGACGTACCCCAGGGGCCAATGATGAAGCGCACTAAAGTGTCCATTATGAGGAAAAACCGGACTCGAGATTATATACCAGAGGGGATCGTATCTTTCAACGATGAAGACGCTGAAGGCATTATGCAACCACATAATGACGCACTGGTAATATCTATACTTATAATTAAATCTCGAGTTAAGCATGTGTTACTTGATCCTGGTAGCTCGGCCAATATCAACAGATTGAGGGTCGTGGAACATCTGGGTCTACAAGAACAAATAGTGCATACGGTCCAGGTTTAAAAATATTCAACATGGCATGCCAGACTACTAAAGAGGAGATAACCCTGCCGGTGAACACCGCCAGGACCATTCAGGAATCGAAGTTCTATGTGATGGAAGGGGATATGAGATATAATGCTCTATTCGGAAGGCCGTGGATTCACAACATAAGGACAATGCCCTGATTACTACGCCGGACATTGAATTTCCCACACCGGGGGAGATCAAGACATTCTACGGAGAACAAGTGGCCGCAAAAGAAATATTCGCAGTCGATAAAGTAATCCTGATCTCCGCGCTCTTAACATCAAACAACCCAGAGTCGGTTAGGAAGGAAGAAACTAAATATCAATCACCGACACCGGTCCCGATCGAACCAGAGAAGCAAGAGGCACACAAAGATGATGATTACGGAGTTCCTAGGTTGTTCATTGACCGCTTCCAACTCCGCACTACTAATAAGTAGCAAGAGAGGGTCGCAATAGCTTTTACCCAATTTTGGGTCGGGATCGAATCCACAGAGAGCTAGAATTGGAGTCGAGTATCTATTTATGTTGGAATTGATCCAAATATCACTTCTATTAATTTTTGGTTTTTCTTTATATTCTACTATGATCAAACTACAAATTATAGTTGCAACTAAATTAAACTAAGAGTAAATTGCTACAAGTTGTATCTAATGGTTTAAAAGGCACTAGGGTAGTGACTCTCACCTAGGTGGCCAATTGACGGGTACTTGCATCCAAGGCACGATTGACATGATTGGGGAATATGTTATAACCGTTGCTCGATACTACCCACTCTACACCTCTCGGTAGAAAGAGTGAGTTTGCCTAATTGACTTTCTCAAGACCAATTGGGTATGCATATTTGTCCAAGCAACTAGGGTTCAAGTCGGGTATTACTCTCTCGAGGTTTAACCCTTTAATTGGGACTATCAAATCTCTTGAGTCCATACCAATTCCTTGTTGAGTCAATTTTGGAGACTTAGGCTCTCTTTCTCAAGAAGAGCCCAAGTCCACTTAGCACAAACTAGTGTTTGCAACCACTAATTCATAAATTAAACCATAAAATTGACCCAAATAACAAACACCCATAGTCAATCTAACCTTAAATCACAACACCCATCAATTACCCACACTAGGGTTGAGCCACAACCCTAGCTAATGGGTCTAGCTACTCATGCTTGAAGAGAAAATCAGAGAAATAGATGAAAAAAAGACATATTAATTAATTACTAAAGTAGATACAAAGATTCAATGATTAAAACTACGTAAAAGTGCCCAAAATGGCTAAGAAAAGTCTTCTCACGAGCGCAGCTTACGTAATACAATGTCTGATGCCCTAAAAATGGAAAAAGAATCTATTTATACAAAGCTTAAAAATCTGGACAAAAATTCCCCTACGGGGTTAGTGCGGACCGCACAAAATGGACCGCGATCCGCACTGGGCTTTCGCCTTCAAAATTGATCTCTCTGAACTTGGGCTCCAAGGACCGCACAGAATGGACCGCGGCCGCGGAGGCTTCTAGCGCGGTCCGCACAAAGTTGACCGTGGACCGCGGTGGCTCAAAACTCTGAAAATTGATCTCTCTGAATCTTCACACCGCGGACCGTAGAGAATGGACTGCGGCCGCGGTGCCTTCAGTGCGGACCGCACAAAATGGTGTGTGGCCTCTCTACCTTGAAGCCTGAAAATCAGCTCTCTGAATCTCCCAGTGCGGACCGCACAAAGTGGTTTACGGCCGCACTGGGCTTGTCCTGCATGAGATATCCTTGTTTTTGGTACTTCTGCAAGTTTCTCTCCTTTTGAGCCAATCTTTGACATTTTGTCACTTTATTGATCAAACCTGCAATCAAGTACAACTTGTGAGCCTTTTAGGACTATTTTGTATGAATATTTGATCAAAGCATAAGCAAGAAGGAGTATAAAATGCGTCAAAATCCCTAGTTATCAACTCCCCCAAACTTAAGCTTTTGCTTGTCCTCAAGGAAACAAAATAAGACCCTCCCCTTAAGGGAAAATCCAAGAAATTTTCAGTTGTCCTAAAGCTACCTCCACTAGCATCACTTGGGACTAACAATTGCCCTCAATACGAATGAACCATCAACAACATTTACTCTTTGAACAACCATGGATCAAGTGCGACACAAGAGCATCAAGAGTTGACTCAACACATCAAAGAACTCTTTCAATTACTTTGGTCATTGTGGAACCCAAACTCACACATCCTCAACTCTCCCTAAGCAAACTTCACCTTTAGAGTAGTGGCACGCAAAACGAGGTTAATGGGAATTCACTCATCTCTCTCAAGGAAAAGTCACAAGTCCAGCTCTAAGTACCATATGCTTGCCCCTTATGTGAGTATCCACTAATGTAGGCTTCATTCAACTCAAGATCATATAGGGATTTTGTGGAGGCATTGTGAAGGCTTTTTGTTCAGGGTAGGGAATGTTTTGCTTTAGGTGGGTTCCACCTTCCCTTAAGCACTTCTTTTGATTCATTTAGAATCCATTCACTTGACTCTTTGAGTCATTTTCACTTCTTTCTAAGGGGTTAGAGAGACACAATGTCACTCTTTCTTATGCAATTCAAACCTTTTCTCCTTTTCAACTTTCCACGCCTTTCATTCATTGCTTTTCTTGAATCCCTTTTTATCCGTTTTCACATTGAACATTCTTTTTGTCTTTTTGCTTTTCTTTCTTTTTAATTGCCTTTCCTTTTCTTCATTTTTGTGCCTTTTTGCTACTTTGTTGCAATCCTCGTCTCTCCCCCCAAACTTATACTTTTGCCATGTGCTAAAGGAAAGATCGGGTGCCAAGAGTGGGTATCTTTTAGAACGAGTATAGGCTTGTATCATGGTTCTTGAAAGAAAAAGGTGTAAGGCTCAAAAGGGTTAACTAGGGATCTTATCATTGGTAGGCTATGGAATTGTTCAAACTATCATTTGGATCAAGGAGAGCCTATAATCATGTCATAAGTCAAAATTCACCTAGGATTTCGCCTCAACAAACATTCAGGGCAAGTTCTAGACCAATGGATCGGGAATTGGACTTGCAATTCAATTACTCACCACACAAGCTAAGCGATTGCTAAAGACATATAGTCGGGGGCCCACAACGACCTTAGATATGATTTGAGCACACAATGGTCCTGACATAACCACTTGATGATTATCGGCCAACGCAAGAGTCTCAAGGTCACAACTTTCACCATCCTAAACACAACAATTTGTTTTTGACCATAAGATCAAAGGCAAATGTGCTAGGCCCAAGTGAAGCTTTGTTTGAGGCACCCTTAACTACTAACTACTAAAAACCAAAAAGAAAAAGAAAAACAGACTCAAACCCTTAAGGTTGTCACGCCATCCATCATTGGGAAGAGCCACCCGGTTCACATAACACTCCACCTTTGGAAAGAACCGTGGCATTAAGAAAACCAAAGGCTTATTGCAAAGTAAGAATCACAAATAAGAAGCTAAAAAACGAAATATTTTGCGAAAAATAGAATGAATATGTACAAGAGGGGATTTGAATATACAACGGATGGGATGCATATATACAATGAGATGTAACTTTATATACAGACCCAAAGTGAAATCAAAATGCGATAAATGTAACGAAATATCAGAATTATATACAGACCAAAGATAAAAAGATAAAGAAAGCATAAAAAAATGTAAAATATATGCAATCATCCAAAATGTAGGGCCTACCCCCTCAAATGAAAGCTGGCATTGTCCCAAATGCCAACTAGTCTAAATAAAGCATCAAAAATAGGAAGGAAAGGATATAGAAGACTCCCTAAGGCCTGTCTGTCTGCATAGGGTCATGTGGGGTCCCTGGGTCCTCTATGCGCTCGGGAACCTCAGACTGGTTCCCGGTGGTCTGCTGCCCTGCTGCTGGGACCTGGGCCTGGACCTGGACAGGCTCTGGAACTGGTACATCCTGTGGCTGACTGGACGAAGTCTCTTGTGGGTCCGCCAACTGGATGATGGCATCATCGGCTCTAGGAATCATCCTCCTCCTCTTCAGAGGCCTCTGTGACTGCTTCGGCTGTGGGTGAGCTGCTGGAACTGGGTCCTCGAGCAATAGGTCTAAAGGCAGGTGATCTGCCTTCAGTCTGTGATGTTCTAAACGTCAATACCACACAAGAGGGGGGGTGATTTGTGTGGTACCCAATTTTCGCTCTAGAAGAACCTGGTTCTTCTAGGTGTACTTACTACTACTGTTTGCAGAATTAAGAGTGCATAAAATAAAGAACACAGAGATTTTTACGTGGAAAACACCTGGCTCAGAAGGTGAAAAAACCACGACCTACTACTCAGTAGGATTTTCCCAAGCTTCCACTAAAATCACTGATCCAAAAAAGCATTTACAAAACTCTTGTAAACCTAAGGATTAAACTCTAGTCCCAGTGTGGCACACAGCCCCAACTGTTGTGACACCTTCAAGTTAGCCTATAACTTGAATACTCAAAGTACCTATTACAATTGCTTCTACCAAAGCTGGAAAGGTACAACTTTAAACCACCTACTACAATTGAACTAGAATAAGAATAAACACAATGGAATTGGTTCTTCTATCTTGTCCAAGTAGCTTCAGTAATGCACACTTGAATCTCACATAAATTCCTTGCAAAATTGCCTCGCTTTTTTGCTTTCAATTTATTTTAACTTCTGCGTTTGTGCAATGCCTGTAAAAGAGAACAATCACTGTTATTTAAAGAGTTATTAATCAGAGTTTGATTGAGACTCAATTGTTGATCTTCCATCGAAGTTGAGTCCTTGAACAATACAAACTCCAACCCTATCCTTGATCCGGATTGTGTTCTCTTAACATAAGGAGACTTCCTCTCCTTATCCAATATGAAACCTTTTCGATCAGTTCAGGAGATATTGCTGCATTATCCTTGAGACTTATCTCCTTCACGTGCATCTCACGTGTATAGGTTGATAAACACTGTGTCTCACATGATGGACCTATTCCATGACTGAGTGCATTTGTCATTCTTCAAAACTTCACCTGAACTTGGGCCAACAAATTCCCCCTTTTTGATGATGACAAACTCTATGCTTTTACTGATCAGAACACCTATGAAACTCAGCTTAATCATCAACACTTTAACTTAGAAAGTTTAACTTATCATCAAGGACCAGGTTTAATCAGGTTATAAATATCACATT